TTCTTTGTCAGCAATGAGGAGCTTGATCCATGCCCATCGTCCCCGTATATTCGCGTAGAAATCAATAATCTCCATGTCCAAACACATGTGGCATAGGATCGCTACGCCTCCTCTGGATCCCCTTGCCGGGGACCAGATTTTGGGGCCGTCCCACCAACCGCCAAACTCGTTAATCTTTTCCTCGTTAAGCTTCGTCTCCTGAAGGCAGGCTATTTGAATGTTATTTTCAAATATCCATGTCTTCAGTCTTTCCTTTTTCCTCCTATCCCTAGTATCTCCCAGACCCCTAAGATTCCACGTGGTGATCTTAATTTTAGGCATTCCTCTGCGGATTTTCTCGTGTTGATTGGACATGAGGTGTAAAGTTGCCCAAGATGGACTGTTGCGTTCTTTGGTTACCGACTAACCACGGTCTGGTCAGTGCATTTCGAAGAAAAGAGGAGCCGAGTTTCTTTTCTCTCGGCAACTTTCCTTCGAGTTCGACAAGGTATTCCACGGTTTTGAGGGGCGGGACTCTTAATCGACATAACTCTTGGCGACGACCCTCTTGAATCCAAATTAATGGAATAAGACGCAGTCCTTCCCCCTCGAGCATTTCCATTTGCCCAGCTACAAATCTGACATCCAGAATAGGGACGAACAACTTGAGTTTCTTTCCTCCCCCTTTTGGACTGTCAACAATTATTCCCGGCATTAACTTTTCTCCGACAAAGCGAAACATAAATTTGTCATTAATAGCCGACTAGATCAAGGATATGATTTGGGTGGGCATGGGGGATTCCGGGGAAGTCAAAGTGTTAAACGAAGGAATCCCATCTAATCCCATCCATGCGATTGTCCACAACGCCCCTCTAGAGATAGTGCAGAACAAGGGCACGATACGTCTTTCGACATTTTGTATTTGACCTTTACCAAGAGTTGCTACCGGGTTTCTTCGTCGAGTGGTTTTCTTGCCCAGTGTGGTGATCTCTGGTGTATGAGAGTGACCTGATTTAGAGGAAGACCCCGATCCTTCTTTTTCCAAGACTCCTGCCTACATACCTACACTGTCCTCTAAACTGAGTCCTCTCTGTTTGCCAGAGAATCCACTCCTTGAGACAGGATCAGTCGGGGCCGGGGAATTTCCCCGTGCTCCGAGGTGGTTTTGAGCCGACCTACCCGAACTCTGTTCCGACACTGATGATCGTGGTTCTGCTTCTTCCCCAGTGGCCTTACCATGTACCGCCATTGGTACAAAGCTCCCAGGGTTGCCACAACCTGCTGGCATACCAAGGTTACCGCCCAGAGGACCGGAAGGTTCGCCTCTCAGCATGTACGGTGCATATTGCTGAAATTGTTGTAGGCCTTGTTGCTAGACAAGTGGCGGTGGCATCCAATTTCCGAATTGTCTGGCTCCCCATCCCATGCCTCCTCCTCCACTGTTAAGGGTGGGGGAGAACATCGGATTGGCGTAAGGTTGAAATCCATGTGGCATTCCACCTTGTTGTGTTGCCGCTTGTAGCAGCACGCTTTGTTGTACCGCTGCTTGGGGCAATCCGCCTTGTAATCCATCCTGAGGATTGATGCCGTGCTGAAGTCCACCTTGTAGGAGAACTCCGCCTTGCTGTGTAGTCCCCCGCATGGGCGATCCTGGAGTTGAGGTGGCCGTCCCTGAAAGCGCTGGGTCGATTCGAGCTGATGTGCCTGGATGCGGCATCGGTCCTTGGTACGAGGGAAGATTACCACTACCTTGGTTTCCACCCTGGTTCGATTGTTGCTAATGCGCCACCCGTCTGCACTGGTCTTCAGTATGAAAGAAAGCCCGACATCTTCTGCATTTCAGTGTTTCTGATGAAGCCAGTTTCACTTCTAGCTGAGCTCCTTCGAACGTTTCAATCCACAAAGCGTCCTTCATGTTTGGTCTTGCACTTGGTTCTAAGTCAAACTTGACATTCACCAGCGTCGGCCTCTGTCTGTTTGGTTCTGTGGGGTGTCTTCGCACCACTGGTCCAATGGCTTTCTTGATCTGAGCTTTCAGACACAACATCGCTTCTAACGGAACTTGGACTGCTATTACCCAAAAGGTAAGACGATCTTCTGTTCTCCTTTGATCTGCCAGCTGTGCCTTGGTTAGCCCGGGTTTAAACTCCAGTCTGTATTTTGATGCTTCCATTGTCAAGCTGCCATGTCCTTTACTAACCATCCACAAGGCGATGATTGGATTCTTGGCCACGTACGATACCACGTTTGGGCTCTCTATTTGCACTCTTCCTCGATGAAACGTGTCAGCCTCGAAATTGCCGTCTTGTACTCGCTCATCTTCGTATGCATGGACAATGTCATCTTTAACCTTCTTCGGTAGGAATCTTGCCCCTTCCTTAAATATAATCGTCACCGTATGTTGCCTCAACCAATTGATCTTTGCCCGGTCAGCCACTCTGACTTTAAATCGTGCAACGCGACCATCAACCGTCATCTCGCCGGGGTCTATATCCGGAGGGATAATTCCTTCGGTATAGCACTCCCCCCCCCGTGCCCAGGACGGGAGGAGCCCAAGGAGGAGTTGAAGACGACGAGAGGATTACAGAACTCCTCTGCCTAAATCCTCATCCATCATCTCTGTCACCAACTTACGTGTCTATGCTTTCTCCTTGCTCGGTTTCGGTAAATAATTCAGACAGATCAACTCTTCGTACCAATTCTAATTCGAATTGTGATGCTATAAGGTCGGCGCCGACTGCTCGCTATGGCTCTCTCACCTCCTTCACCGATAGCTGGAGGGGGCCCTTCGACGAGGCGAAGTGGCGATGGAGTTCATACCTACCGGGGAGGTATCACATCGGTACCCCCACCGACCAAACATGCCCCCGTTACCGAAAACGGCGGCGCTTGGTCCAAACGCTAATGCCACAGCAAAAGCGCCGCAGACCGGCCTCACAAACCAATTTCAAAGACTAACTATAAGTGTATGGAGAATAAACCCCCATATCAAAATCCTCTCAATAACTAAATCTAAATTTAACTCTAAGTGAGTGTCAAAAGAAATGAAGATTTTGGCTGCATCCCCACTATACAAGGTGGATTGCCAGTATCTTTAATATCAAAATATAGTTTAACTCCTTAAAACTAAGAAAAATTTGGCATCGCTTCCCATATGAAAAATACATATTTTCATAATTCATACTCATCCGAATATGAAAACTGAAATAGTCCTCAACTCCAGAGGGTCAAATTTTGTTGAACTCCCCGAATTAGCAAAAATTTAGGCAGCATTTTTTTTATAAAAGTGAACTTTGCAGATTTATACTAAGTCAGGCTCGAAATGAGACTTGAGTTCTTGCTAAGACAAAATTTAACTAACTCCTTAAGTTCGTATAAATTTTGGCAACACTCCCTCTAGAAAAACGTCATTAAAAAATTCGTACAAAGCTAAATACCAAATATGAAAACGATCTTGACTGTACAAAGTCATATTTTCTCTAACTCCTTGAATTAGTAAAAATTCGGGCAAGAACTCCCATATAAAATAAGGTTTTCCACATTTATACTAACTCGGATATAAAACATAGACAAAAACTCTACGTTGCATAACGTACACCTATGCGGCGAAACGTATAAGTAATATATGTACGGGATCTGTACGAAAACCTGTACGGGAACCTGTACGTCTTGTACGCCCCCGTACTAAAAAAAAAAGTCATCAAAAAAATCTGGAAAAAAAAAGTGATGCAACAACACAAAACAAACAATATTTGGTTGAGCATCATTGACAGATTCTTATTAGAATTTGAGGGGAAAAATAAAAACAATACCAGATGAAAAAAAAAAAAAAAAAAAAAAC